GGCAGTCTGGAGAGGGGACACAGCCACACAGCAAAGCTCTTTGTTGTTCCTCAGCTTGGTGGCATCAAAGGGACCGCGACAGAGGCAGTGGCAGCTCCAGAGCCATCGGGGCCCTTTTTGGTGAATGCAAATGCCCAAAGCTGTCATCTTGTGCAGCAGGAATCTTCCCTGCTCGGCTTTGCTCTTTTTAAGCAAATCAAACCAAATGTGTACGTAAAAAACAGGGGAGAAAACTACTGTAGTTGCTTCCAATTGATTAATTGGATAAATACCTTCTCACTGTTTTTACTGGTGTATGGTTAGTTTCAAAAGGACTGGTGCACTTCCCCCTGTCAGGGCTTTCAGTGCCTCCCTGTCTGTCTCAATGCAAAGCTGTGGAGCCCCAGTCCTGAGTTATCACCAAAGTCTGTCCTACTGCAGTGGAATTTACGATGTGCCCCTGGCTGCTTGCCTGGCTGGTGACAGATACAGCTCACCGATAAACACTGCATATTGAGCACAGCGGCGTGTTCTGAACAGATCACCTCTACATGTGATATGTGGGTACGAAGGGAAGAAATTAAATTCACAACTTATGTGCCAGCTATCGCGCAGCACCTGAATTACCTAAAGGATTGTAAGTCTTTTAGCAGTGACTGTTCTGGAGACATTCACTGATGGAGATGGCACAAGCCAATTTCCACCAGGAACAGCTCCCATAAAACCTGCTGTGCAAAACCCATAAAACTGATATTTAAGTGACATCGGAAGGATGTGTGTGGACGGTTTAAGGCACTACCTGATACCCCATTTTTACTTCTGCTGTGCGTGTCCATTGCAGGTGTTTTTACTTTTTTGCTTTGGAGGTTTCTAAGTCTAAGCAGATTATTTGGGAAAGACTTTGTTATTTAAGCATCTCGTCCAAAGTATGTTCAAGTAAATTAACATTCCCCCACTTTCTCCAAAACGTTTTGGACTATGGCTGCAGCACTTATATTTACTACCAAGTTCCATAATAGTAAGAAGAGCAGAACGATTTTTCAGTGCTAGCCATAATGAGCCTGTATCAGCATGAAAATAAAGATGGTATACGACCCCAGAAGCCAATGGTCTCAGTTTTCAAAGACACAAATGACTAGAGAGCTCAATCCCACCACTCCAAGGCAGTGGGGAAAAGAACACCTAATTCCCACCACCAGTTTTGAAAACCTTTTTGTAGGAAGAGAGAGCAAACAGACAGAGAAGCAAAAGGAAAACAATAAATAAGAACAGATGTTAATGAACTATGCCTGGTTATTTAGGACATCATTTTCATATATACAGTGGCTGCTTGACCACAACATGGAGGGATTTCCACAGAAATGATGGTGAGGGTTGCAAAATATCAAAATATGTCTGTTTTGCATTGTATCTATAATTCTGCACTTCAGTATTTTAATAAGATCCATTTTAAAGGCACTTCTGCTTGAGTAACTGATGTAATAATATTGTGGGCAATGTGAAAAACTGTGGACATGTATGTAATTCTCTCCAAGTTTTTTTTTTTTTTTTTTTTAAGAAATAATGTGTTTTGGTAAACTTTACTGTATCTATATGTAGGTTACAATTAATTTAAGATGACTTTCTCACTTGATTTTGTTAAATGGTCTTACTCTGTAGGTAAAATAAATGCAATAAAACAATCCCGTTTTTGTTCCTTTCTTTGTTAAAATATTTAATTTGTTGAAATACAGCAATGACCTAAAAATTACTTGGAGTTTTGCTCATCTATGGAGTGTTCCTGTGTTTAGAATTGAAATAAAAGCTTTGTATATATGTGTGTATGCACATATATTTATATTATTATATAGGAATACATGTATTTATACTTATATGTGAAGATAATTCTGGTTGGAGATATTTGTAGTTAAGTCTATTTCAAATAGTTTTAAATGATTATTGGCTTTCTTCCTCACTCTTCACAGAGATATTAATTTATAAAATAAAACAGTTTCAGGCACTGCTTTGAAGTGTTAGTAATCCCAAAATGATATGTCTACATTCAGAGGGAGTTGTCTGTTAAACTCTTAAGAGCCCTAGCCTAGGTAATTCTGTACACTTTCTAAAAAGTTTTTTTTTTTTTTTTAATGCAATACTCTAACTTATTGCTCTATTAATACAGACATACTAAACATGATGTAGAATGACATACATCTAGAAAAACACACAGGATTGAGTCTTGGGCTCAGTCATACTGATAAATATCTGCTGTTATTCTGAATTTATAATGAAGAATTTTACTTAATGGTGTACAAGTCCATGCAAAGCAACTTGCTGATAATCAAGAAGCTGAAGCATATTTTTTTTCTTGGTGGGAGTTCTATCATATGCATTTTAAGAAAAAATGATGGTCCTGAAAGGCCTGAAAGGTCCATCATTTTCACAAACAGAAGATCTTGCTCAAAACTAAACTTTTTAGGGGCTGGAACAGTTCAGTTTTCAAAGTAACACGATGTTTTCCAAGATTTTAGGAGGAAGAGGCACCTCAAAAATACAGCATAGTTTCAATATGTATGTGATCAATAAATACCAGGCATGATCGTCACAACTGCAAGAATGCTGCTTGCAGAGGTGTCTAACCTTGGCTGGAAGAGTGGATCAGAGTCAGCCTAGATGGTCAGAATTAGCTCAACAGATCTGGCTTATACATCCCTGCTTTGGAGTCAAAAAAATTACTTTGACTCTCTTAATAAAATCTCAGCTCTTTTTGGTTAATGACCTGTAAGTATTGCCAAACCACGGATCCAGGACATAACATCTATGCTAAATCTCAGTGGATCAATTGCTAGCCTTTATCAGATTTTTGAACTAGGCTTCTAATAAAGGGATTACTAACACATTTTTCAACATTAAAAAGCCCTAGAAAATGCATTTTTAAGCTCCTGCTATTTTTCTATTTCAAAGAGTGGGTGGCCATTTCTGAGATGCATTTTAACCTCATGGAGACATCACTTTGGTCTAAAGATCTTGTAAAATCTTATTTTACAATGTCTGTATTACAGACCAAGTTAGGTTTTACAGTTGTCCCATTTATGTAGCTGAGTAACATTAACAAGACAGAAATTCCAGGTAAGCTGGGAATAAAAATCATGCAGTAATGCCTGGATGAGCAAAATAATTTTAATACATATGGTCACTGCTCAAAAACGAGTATGAAAGGAGCATGGGAACTACAGCGGTTGTTACTCCCTACTTCAAAACTGAATATCCAATTCCCTTTCTATTGTCTATACTTTTTTTCTGAGTAATACTAGACTGAATTGTATTATGTGGCTCTGAAGACCACAGACGCTCTCAGCACATTGGGTTTGAATTTGCCTTAAGAACCAGTAATCAGTTACCTCACATCTTCAAAGGCTTCACCTTTCTATGGTTATTTGGAAAGTGAATACGAACAGGAAGGCTGTCACAAAACAGCATCAGAATGATTAACTCCTGTGAAACAAATGGAGGAGCTGACAGTGGGCATGTATGGCAAAACACAGCAATGAAATATTTTCCTGGTACTATCAGTGGTGAAAAAATGAAAATACAGAATTTGGAAGAGAGGGGTAGTAGTTTAATGTTTAAGGTGGAAAATGTAGACCCAGTAGAGTTTTAGAGTTATTGACCAGAAAGATGACATGGACTGCTGAACAGTCTCTCAAACAGTGATGTAAGTCTTGCTATTTGGATCATCATCAGGAAATACGCAAAGGACAAGACAGAATTAAAAGAAATAATGCTTTGTAAATGTGAATGCTGCCATTCATAAATATAAGACAGTCAAGAATATAAAAGGTGAAAAAAAGAAAACAGAAAAGAAAAATCTGCTTGCAAATAAGGTGTTGTTCAATCTCAGTATCACCAAAAAAGTTTTAATTTCTTTTTTTTCTCATATATGCCAGTTGGAGGGACCAGGTGGAAAAATTCAAATGACTGTTAGCAAGGACACCAAAAGTCATCAGTGCAATAGCCACCTAAAGGACATTTAAATTGCAGAGGACCATGCACAACTTAAAACAGACTCTTTGCAAGAATGGCAGAATCATGACTTTGCATATCTTATGTGGAGTTTATGGTGTGCTAGCAGCTAAACTTGCTAGAGAAAAGAAGGCTTTCACTTTTAAAAGCTTATAAAGCATGTTTCATAATAGGCTAGATGCTTACACAGTTCCTTTAATCAACTTTTAGAGGTACTCATGCAAATGCAGGTGCTAGGTTTTTTTCCCACAAGAGCTGTGGTGCATCATTTAGAGTCTCAACCACTCCTCAGGAACCTAAATTTTCTTTTAAGCTTGGGTCATTGTAACTAGGGTCACTGCTAAATCCAGGTCTCATGAAAGCACAATACTTTTCACTTTTGGTTAGTCACCATCACTTCAAAACAGCATTCCTCTTTTGATGTTGTGCTTGATCAGCTAGTCTTTGCAGCACAGTTTTTCCCCTCGGTGAATGTAGTAGATAGCGTAACTAAGCTTTTTGAAGGATTCTGCGTTTTACAGTCAGCCTTCAGGGATGCTAAATTTAAGAGTAAGGAAACTGTAATTAAAAGCAATTAGGACAAGAAGCATTGATACTACGAAATGTGGACTCAATTGTCCTTGACACAGGCAGAATGAGGCAGCAGGTTTTGGTTTTGATTATTGCTTTACTTGCGATTTTAATAAACATGAGCCAGTATTCAAACTTTTAATATCCTGCTGCTTAGCTATTTCCAAAAAGCAATCCAGTTCTTTTAAGCAGTCCTTGTTTAAAAATTTTAATTTGTTTGGCTCTGTCCTGCCTAGAGAAGTTGTAGCCTCTTGGTAACTCTTTTATAAGTTCATTTCCAGAATCACAAGCAATCGTTTTTTTCAACTAAGTGTTTCCGCATGTGCCAAAAGTGTCAGGCTGACAGCTTTCCTGCACCGTTTTATCTGGTTCCCACAGTAAGTATGAGAGACAAACACAGGAATGTGTCTAGTGCTGACTATGCCCATCAAGGATACAATGATACTTACAGCTCTTCCAGGAAGCGGAGATTGTGCACGGGGTTTGAGGGCAGCTTAGTAATGTTGTTCATACTGAGATCACTGTAGGGGAAAACAGACAGAGACTTAGTATGGCATGCCACAACTGTGGTATCCAGCTGTTCATTCCACACATTTTTAAGTACTACGTTAACAAAAATTAGTTCCTCTGCCAGGATTGATGAATCATTATCTAGTTAGCACTTTAAACATTCTACTTTCCTATGAAAATAGCTTTGTCAAACCAACACAGGCTACAGCATGTTTCTTGTTTCCAAAGACTTTGGAATGTTTTATCATGCTCTATAAATCAAGCTGGAATACTAAACAGCCCTGTTAGCCTACATAATTTTAATAAACCGCTGTACTGTACTAAAATTTATTTGGAGCAGTAAAGGAAAACTACTACGGTTTTCGTTGTTGTTATTGCATTGTAGCACACTGTTGGTATACGAAAGTAGACAAGCAAAAGTGCACAGATACAAACTATCTGCACAATTCTTTACATTTGATGAATATGGAAAAAATTTGCTTTTGCTGCACAACCTACTGGTTCTGTTGGTTTTCCTTGTGTTACTTTAGGTACCTTAGATGTCCCCAAAACCCAACTCACTTGAGCCAAAGAAAGGACATATTTTCAAATAATAAACATCCCCTTTCTAGAGTGCTCTTTTTTTTGCAGGTTCTCAAATTGCATTAAATAAGTGAAATGAACCATAAAACAAGGGTGTAATGTGATCCTGCTCTGTAGCACACTTCCTGGTGGGGTTCCACGGTAGTTCCTGGCACAGGAAACAACCAGCCATAGCAGCTCTGTCAGAGCTCATTCAGGCTACATCTTAGACTAAATTTCATATAATACCTTTTTATTCCTAAGGTGTTGCTTCATTGTTTTCCATTGTCTTCTCCAAGCCCCATACTATCATTACAATTGACTTGCATTGAGAATAAAAACTGTAAACAGGCTGCATAACAAAATTTTACCTGCAAGTTACGACTTACACAACTATGTCAAAATTATTGTAGACGCTGTTAAAAATATTAGAGAACTTCATATTTTATGCAAATGTTATGTGATCATTTAAAACAATCTACTCAAATATATGTATTTGTAGCAGCATTTATAGATTCTAGCGACTTCGGGTAGTAGTTGGATAACTTTATTTTTTCCAGCTGTTGAGAGCTCAAAAGGTAAAGAAGTTATCTGTACTTTGGTGGGTAGGGGTCTTATTCCTATTCCATCCAGTTCTTATTACTCACAGTCTGTTTCACATTACAGAATAAATGTTTTTAGTCAGCATTGTTAATTTTGATGTTTGATCTTTTGCTGAATTTTAAAACGTGCAATTTAAAAACATACGTCACGTAGAGATTTTGAAATAAAAGAAATGTGTTAATACTTCACGACAATTATCAAATCACTATAGGGTAAGGTCTCTGCATCCACTTCAGAATCAAGGTATAATTTCAGAACTGTGAACTTATTAAATTCATTCTTTACTGTAATACTTTATCACCTAATTCTTTCATACAGCTTAGCAGGTTATTACCCTTTCACTTTGATAAAGGCTCAAAGGATTTATTCTGGCAAAGGAACAAATACATGGATTTACTTGGCAAGATAAAAACTCACCCAGGTAGTGAATCATATACTACTGAATATGAAGATAAAAATGATATTTTAACATCGTTTTGATTGTGAAATTTTCAACATATATCTTAATGGTTTTTTGCAAACACATTAAATCACATTTTTAAAAAGCCAGAGTTGGTTGAAAGTGGGAGTGATTCTTCTTCAGATAGACACGTATTTAGGGCACTCTGTAAAAACAGCATTAATCAGTGCTCTGTCTGACCAGGAATAACTGAAGCCTGTTTTTATAGTATATTAATTCCCACTAGTAGTAGACAGGACTTTTCTGATATCCACGGAACCCCAAGTCTCCCAGCTCCTGACCCATATCCGATGATACCCGTCATAAGCGATCTATAGACCACGCTCCCTCTATTATCTTAAGATGATCAGAAGAAGAGAAGGCCACTTTGATTACATGCTTTGATGCACAATGAGAAAATCAACAATAAATGTTTTTCTTAAATACATCTTTTGATGTGGAGGTGGATTTACCAGCAGTGAATTCCAGTGTCCTAGTCTCCTTTTCAGATTCCACTTATATGATGAAGTATGTGTTCTTCATCATATAACGGAAGACAACCTTTTCTTGTTCCCAGTCTACACTGCAGTAGTTGCTAGCTCTTTTAAAACCCGTTAGTTAAATAATCCTGCTTTGCTAAATAGGTTCCTTTTTTTTTTTTTCTTTTCTTTTTCCCAAATTATTCTTTTCTTGAAACATAAAATACAATGGTATTCTTGTGGACAAGACGTCTATATGTTACCTATACATATTGTTTTTATTTTTAACAACTTTCTCATAAACAGAAATTACTTCCAGATTTGTTCAGTAACATCTTTCCAAACTAGTTTTTAACACACTGGTAACTAATAAACTGACTACTGCAGTCTATGTTGGCAATGTGTTGTTGTGGTTTAAGAATCTAAGGAAGACTGCTGTAGGGAGAAGTAATATCTTTTGATTAGCCTAACAGATACATCTGGAAAAAACGAGAAACTTTCAGACACAAAAATCAAAAATCTTTCCTTTTCCCAGCTGTACCAAATGGCTGATTAGATAACTCTTTCTTCTAAAAACCTTACACAGCTTGCACTGGCAAAGCAGTTCGTCTGCACTTATAGTTCTTCGGCTCAGAAGACTCTTCTGGGTCAGAATGGATGCATTTCATCCAATTTTTGTTCACTGAAGGAACTGAGGGACTTAGGAGAGAAGTCTCATGACCCAGAGCTACTTTTGGAGTGATGTACAGAGAAGCAAGACAAACAAAAAGAGTTGATGCAATGCAGTCAGCCACTGAATCTCATGTGAGCAATGCTGCAAAGTTTGGGCTGCTGAGCAGAAATTCTTCATAGTTCTCCAGAGACAAATGAAGGAGACTCTCAGCAAAACTTGCCAGCCTTTTTACCCTATTGCCAAGAAGACATAGCTAGGATGAGATTTATGTCCATTAGCTAGATCAAGCACAGCTAACAGCCAGAAAGAGCAAGCTGGTAAATTGTAGGGTTATATATTATTACTATGAAAAACTGTAACAACTGTGATTGATATGTCTTATGTCCTGCACCTGCAATGCTGTATTTCCAAAAAGTGCATCAAACAGGTCTTCTGATTTCTCTTTTCAGTACTAGCCTGTCAAAATCAGTCATTTACTTGCACTAAAAAAGAGAAGGGGATGAAAGGTGGCTTGCACATCAGGATTTGTAGTGTAATGTTGAAAAATTGTTAAAATCAAGGTCTTCAACTATCCCCAGAGGAACTACTTGGTTTTTATATCAGATACATTCTCCAGTTTTCCTTGTGTGCGTGTGCGTGTGTACTCAGCAAAATCAAAACCGCTGAAACTGCAATTGTTTCTTGTCCAACTCAGTAGAGTCTTACAGGCTACAGTGATGAAAAACTTACAATTATTAGAATACTGAAAAATCTTTAATAAGGATGTAACACAACTTTTTCTATATTCCACCGCTAAAGCACTCATAAATCCCACTGATGTCAGTAAGACCTGCATCATTAAGAGTACATTCTGGGTCTTAAAATGCCCCTATTGTAAATAGCAATAACATCAGATCATCACGTATAAAAATCAACCTCCCCACAAGCCGAAGAACTGTGCTGGAAAGCTGATAGGCTATTTTGAACAGTCAAATGAACGCATCATTTCTTCTCCAAGCAGCATTCCTGCAGCCTGTTTCCAACTGCTGACCATAAAATCAACATACCAGCAACTGATACTTTTATCTTGTCAGAAGATAAAAAAGATCTGCTTCAATGACTGCATTGGCAACATGGCTCGCTATAATGGTATCTTAATTATACTCTGTGCCAATCAATCACCAGGCTGTGACTTGAGAAAGGAATCCTACCTGTGATGAAATCATAAAGTACTATGGCAGATTATCTTCTGAAGGAAGGAGAATACTGCAAACTGCAACATACATCTATTCTTTTTCTTTTTTCATGGTGACTATACAGAAAAATTCTGAGCATTTGCACAAGAGTCCAGAAAGCTAAATACAACAGGTCTTCCTCTCCCACTTCCACTTTTGTTATCTGTGCACATACACACTGAAAACAATATCCAGTTACCATTTTAAAGGTAAGTAGTTCACCGTAAGTTCCCAAAAGCCAGTAAAATAAGTTAAGTGAACTAGTTCTTAACATATAATGGACGAGTCTGGAGGCCAAGTTACTAACCTGTTATTAGCTGTTATTACAAAAGATGTTTCAGTGACTATTCATCTTGGAATCTGTTTTCCACGTTGTTCTTATGTCCTTTAAAGGAGAACAAGATCTGTCTTGGCATATATACAAGGCTCCTACAGTTCATCTATTACTAGGTTATACTTCTATTATACTAAATATTACAAACTTTTCTACCATCACAGGGCTAATACAATAATCCAGTATTAATTAACAGTTGGAACTTAACTTTTAGAAAATGATCGTGCCTCACTACTAGGATCGTTAGTTATGCTTTCTCTAGGCCTGCCTCGTCCCAACAAGATGTATTAAGAATTATTTTTAAGGCAGCCTTTGAAAGATAAAGCACTAACATTAAAACACTGGCAACAGACTGAATGCACTACGTTCCTACAAGCTGGGAACAGCTCCTACACTAAGGCCATTTCCTTAATCTATTTACAGCAAAACTGGGCATTATCTTACATGTAGTAATACAATATAATGAAAAAGGGTGAGAATTGCTACTGCTGTTCCCTTGCTGTCTTTCTAACATAGCACTCTCACTCTCACTGTTGGCAGGACACTTTACTAGCTCCCCTGGTTGATGGAGGAATGTGCTAGCTATTAAGCGCCTGCTGTCTACTACCGCAATTGCTTCACTATGGATATTAAAAATAACTTCATCTGCTGCAGTGACTTAAAGGAGATAAATCTACATGTATTTGCCAACACTGTAGTAGATGTTCC